TTTTTTTTTTTTTGGTCTTTTGAGACAGGGTTTCACTATGTAGTTGAGACTGACCTGGAATTTACTATGTAGCCCAGGCTGGTCTTGAATTTGCAGTGATCCTCCTGCCTCAGCCTCCCAAATGCTGGGATTACAGGTGTTCACCATTGGATTGGTGAATTGAGACCATTGAAATTGATGGATGTGTATGGTCTTATCTATGTCATGTAATTTTCCTGCTGTTGGCTTCCTTTTTTCTTTTTTTGTTTAATTTATTGCCTTGCCTGGAGGATTCATTCAGTTGGGGTTCATGGAGTTGTAATCCTTATTGTCTCTTTCTGGAATATCCTTCAGAACACTTGGGTGTGCTGGTTTGTTTTTCATGAATTTCTTCAGGTGTTCTTTGTCATGGAAGTATCTTATTTTTGCATCAACATTGAAGGATACTTTTGCAGGATGCATCAATCTGGGTTGGAGGTTTGTTTTGCTTTTTGTTTTTGTTGTTTTTTGTTTGTTTCTTTGTTGAGGTGAGGCCCTTCTTTGTTTCACATTTAGACCTCATTGGTCTACGTGATTATCATGACTCAGCTTCCAAAGAATCTGGAATTGCAACTCTAGGCACAGCACCCTGATACTGTAGAGTGGTTTTAACTCTGAAACAGAGTAAATTGTTGGATGTAGTCAAAGATCCCTCTACAGGGATCATTCCCACCCAAATCAGGAACAGATTAATTCCTTTCCTGTTTTACACTCACCTGTGACTGTCACATGTTAATAAAACTAAACCTGTGTGTGTGAAGTAAATCAGTGAGTGAATCCTTGATTTTGCTCTCTTCTTTTTTGGGGAGGGTCTAAGATGGGGACCTCATTTTTTAGTGTAGGCTGGAATTGAGCTCACTATGTTCCCAGGCTGTCCTCAAACTCATGGCTATCCTCCTGCCTCAGCCTCATGATTGCTAAGATTACAGGTATGTGTCACCATACCCTGCCTCTCTATCTCCTGAAGAGATAGAGAGATAGATCTAGCCCTGTCTAGATATTTGCTAAAAACAACCAATGTAGACACAGAAACCCCTCAAGAATTAACTGGGTGGAGCCGGGGAAACCCAGTCAGAGAGCAGAATGTGAGGGGAAGGGAGGAGCTGGGCGGATAAGGTTGTAGCTAACAGGGGGGATGGGGATAAGAGCAGGAGAGGATCTGAGGAGATGCTCAGTTCTGGAGCTTCCAGTCACCGCCAGATCCTACCAGGAGTCCCAGAGCCTCAGCACCATGTTGGCACCAGGTGAGTCACTGCCCTCCATGAGGACGCCCCTCCTGCCCACCCTCGGCCAGTGTCCTGTGAGGACAGAGGTCCAAGGTGGCATGGAAGATTCTGTGATTTCTGTCTCTTTCACTGGATAGGTCTAGGATTTTGTAGTTATTATTATTATTATCATTATCATCATCATTATTATTATTATTACTTGGAACCAAAGTCTTCCTCTGTTGCCCAGCTGGATTTCAATTCAGTACATAGCCCATGCTGTACTTGAACTCCAGACTGTCCTCCCTACTCTTGGGACCATGACTGGATCTACTAAGCCAGAGTTAGATTTTTGTTTTTTATTGTAAATGTGTAAATTTGCCTTCACGTCTTATATCTTATTTTGTGCATTGGTTTATGTCCTTTCATAACTTCTTTTTGAGACAGGGTCTTACCTTATATTTCAGACTTGACTTGAAATCACTGTGTAGCCAGGCTGTCCTTCTCACAGTGATCCTCCGGCCTCAGTCTCCAGAGTGGCAGGATTAGAGGCATGTGCCACCACACCCTGCTTTGTCATTTCATAACTTTTTTGAAACCTTATGTCTTTGTTTAAACAAAAGTCATCTCTTCAAAGCTCAGCAGGATCACCCATGTGGGTCTTCTGAATTCCTTGTGGTGCTGAAGCAGGGGAATGGGAGGACCCAGGCCACCCTGGATTAAACTGGATTAAATTGCAGACCTTTTCATATTGAGCATTGCGTTCTGCCTTCCCACTGTGCTTCATCCTCCACCATTTTTGTTTTAGTTTGTGTTTTGAGGCAGACTCACTAAGTCATCTGAGCTGGGCTACAACTTGGAACTCTCCTGACTCAGCTTGCCAGAATGCTGGGATTACAGGAGTGGATCTCCAAGCCCAGCCTTGTTTTATTTTATTATTCACTCATTTTTAAATTCATTGACACAGGCCAGGGATGTAGCTCAGCTCTTCGGTGGCCTGCCTTGCAAGTGCAAGGACCTGAGTTCAATCCCTGGTACAAAAAAAAAAATCATTGACAGACTCTTACTAAGCAGTTCACACTGGCCTTCAATACACTGTGCAGCCCTGGCTGTCCTAGAATTCTTGTCTGAGCTTTCCCAGCGCTGACATTACAGGCTGCCCCACCACCCATGGCTTCTCTTAGAGCATTTTAACTGCAGCCCTGGGGATGTTGCTCCATGCTAGAGCTCTGGACTAGAATGCCAGGGGCTCAAGTTTTGAGCCCACTAGAGTAAATGGAAAAGGGAATATGTTTTCATTTTCTTTCAGTACTGAGGACTGAAGGCAGGGATGAGATAGGACAGACCTAATAATACCTTATTTTTGCTGGTTTTGTTTTGAGACAAGGTCTCCTAACTTAGCTAAGTTAACCTTGAATTCATCTTTTGTCAGTCTGACAAGGGTTGGCATCAGAGGCTTGTAATGCCCAGCTAGAACTTTCTCCCCCTTTTCCTTCTCCCCACCTCCCCCTTCCTTCATTTTTTCTTCCCTCCTTCCCTCCTTTGCAGAACTGAATTACATCACTCGCACTTTTAAGACAAGATCTTACTAAGTCACTACATTGCCCAGTTTGGGCTTCAATTTAAGTTTTGGGATTCTCGGACCTCAGCCTCCTAGTGGGCTAGAATTACAGACATTTCCATGAAAGTTTATTTTTTCATAATTGAAACATTCAATTTGTATTTCCTCGTGATAGTTCGTGGATATTGGTTTGTGAATTTAGCTAGGACCCTTTCCACTCATGTGCTTGGCCCTGAGTTTGGTCCCCACCAACACAAGAATTTAAAACAAAGCCTGGTGAGGTGGGGCACACTTGTAATCCCAGCACTCAAGAGAGATGCAGTAGGATCACTGAGTTCAGTGGTAGCCTGGAGTACATAGTGAGTTCAAGGCTGTCTTGAAATATACCAAGACCACGTTTCAAAAAAAGCAATTAAGGAGGGAGCTTTAAAACTTTTTATATGGGAGCTGGGCGTGGTGGTGCACACCTGTAATCCCAGCACTTGGGAGGTTGAGGCAGGAGGATCTGTGTGAGTTCAAGACCAGCCTGGGCTACATAGTGAGTTCCAGATCAGTCTCAACTACATAGCGAGACCCTGTCTCAAAACAAAAAAGAAAAAACAACAAAACTTTCTATGTGGGGGCCGGGGATTTAGCTTAGTGGTGCCTCCACCTGCCTAGCAAGCACAAGGACCAGAGCTCAGTCCCCGGTACCAAAAATAACACAAAAAAGTTTCTTTATGGCCAGGTATGTTTACCCATGTCTGAAGCATCACCTATTCTGGAGGCTCAGGTAAGAGAATTTCAAATTCAAGACTAACCTGGACAAGTTAGGGAAATCTTGTCTCAAAGTTTGAAAACACACACAGAATGCTAAAATTGTCACTCTGGGCCAAAGCTGTCTTCAACACATGGTACCTCAGACCAGTTTTTCTGTTTTGTTTTGTTTGCAGTACCGGGGATTGAGTTCAGGACCTTGCTCTTGAGAGGCAGAGAAAGCACCACTGAGCTAAATCCCTGGCCCCTCACATCAGTTGAAAAAAAGCAACTATATAATATTTTATACCAGGATTTATTTGTTATTTTTATTTTTGTTGTGTGGCTTTTTGGTATTTTTGTTTTGTTGCTGTTTTTAAAGCAAAGTCTCACAATGTAGCTCAGGGTGGCTTTAAACTCACTACATAGTCCAGGCTGGCTTCAAACTTGCCGTCAAACTTGCCGTGATCCTCCTGCCTTAGCTTCTGGAGAGCTGGAATTATAGGCTTTTACCACACCTGGCTATTTCTGTTGCACTTGTTTTTGTTTTTTTGTTTTGTTTTTTGGGGTTTTTTGTTTGTTTGTTTGTTTTGTGGTATGGGGCTTTAAACCAGAGTCTTTGAATGGCCCTACCTCTCTGGGCCTATTTTTTTTTATTTCATTAGAATTCATTTCAAGGCATTCTTGCTGTCACTAAATTGTACAGGCAGGGTTTAAACTTGGAGTTCTCTTGCCTCTGCCTCCCAGAGTGCTGGAATTATAAACATGTTCCACCATGTCTAAGTCTTTGTAGTATTTTTGTGGTACATGGGATTGAACTCAGGACTTTTCGCTTGTGAAGCAGGCAATGGAGCCCCTGAGCTAAATCCCCACCCCGTCTCTGCAGTATTTTTAAGGGGGAGACTTTGTTTTGATCTGTTTTCTCCCCTGCACGCAATCACAAAGTGCTAAGTTGTCATAAGTGGAAGAGTTTTAACAACCTACACCAGAGTCAACGTTTTCTGTGTCTAACTGCCACATGCTGTACAACAATGGTACATAGCTTTTCTAATTGCTCATTAAGCCTCTTCAAATGAAAACAACACGATCTGTTCTGTGTGGTCCCCTAATAACTCCTGAGTGGCCTCATGGGTGGAATGGAGATGGTAAGGTGGTTGGGCTATGAGACACTTGCATTGCTATTATTTAAGGCCATTAGTACAAAGATCAGAAACCTCCCACACAAGAAGGGGCCGAGACGTCTCGGCAGTCAGAGCCCACTTCCCACAAGAACTGGAGCTCAGAGGATGAGAGGCTTGAAGTGCATGGGGTACTGGTGCCCTGGTGCGCACAGGGGAGAAATGTGGCATTGGAGCTAAGTAGGTCAGAGAAGTTGGGGTAAACTGAGAAAGCTCCCTCCATAGCTAGAACAGAGAGCTGGCTCTGGAGCTTGGCCTGAATGGATGGCCCTTTCTGGACATGACCCCAAATCCTCCTTGCAGGTTTCTCGGGAGGGATGAGTACGCAGAGCCCACGGACTCTGTATGAGCTGACCAAGCAGAGCCTGCTGAGCAGTAAGACCCTAGCCAGTGCCGCTCTGCATGACCTGCCCACCCTGATCTTCCATGAACTCTTCGTGGAGGCCTTCCTGGGGGAGTGCAATGAAGTCCTGAAGGCGATGGTGCAGGCCTGGCCTTTCCCCTGCCTCCCTTTGAGGACCCTGATGGACTTGAGGCAACCAAAGACTCTACAGAGAATCACACTGCAACAGAGAAACCTGCAGACCTTGGAAGCCCTACTGGATGGCCTGGACATGCAGCTGTCCCAGACGGTTCACCACAGGTGAGGGAGATCCACGGACCCTCGAAAGAGTGTCCTGGGAGTGCCGGGAAGGGAGAGTTGGTGTTAAGGAGCATGGGAGCATGTGTAGAACAGCTTTTGATGTGGAGAAGGGTTTCACAGAGGTCTTGGCTTTGCTGAGAGCCACCTGGAAAGAGGTTTCTATATGAGAAAGCTGGATGCGCTCTACTCAGGAGGAACCTACACCTGCCTTCTCTCGAAGGATCTAGAAGTTGAATTAAGCAGCGTAGAGAAGTGAGAAGGGTAGAATAGAAAGGCAGGAAAAGCAGTTCATCTGATGCCCAGAAAGTAGAAGTGAAGCACAGTAGGAAATGGGGTCTTTATCTCAGTGCTGAGGCTGTTTCCCTTCTCACCCACAGCAGGTGGAGACTGAAGGTGCTGGATTGGAGGGACGTACACCGGGACTTCTGGACCGCAGGGCCCAGAGTTGTGAGTGCTGCCCTCTCAGATCATGCCAGAAATAATGAAACAGACAAGCCTGGGCTGAGGAAAAAGCCAACCTTGAGAATATTGGCACACCTTTGTTTTGAAGCTTGGAGTGCCTCTTGTGCCATTCATGATGAATTAGAATTTTGCCTCCTGAGTTGGGCCTGGAAGAGACGAGCTTCAGTACATCTGTGCTGTGAAAAGGTCATGATCAAGTCCAAAGTTGTCTCTACCATCCTGAAGCTGCTGTGTGCTGTGCAACTGGACTCTATCCAGGAGCTGGACTTGTTAAGTGACTGGGGTTTGAAAAGCATGGTGGCACTTGTTCCTCAGCTCAGGAAGATGACGAACCTCCGCACAATTCACTTGAGTGGCCTGAGTCCAGAATTGTTCACTTTGCTCTGGGAAAACAAGTGGCACTCCTGCATCTATGGTTTTCACTTAGAAGAGCTGCAAAAGCTCCGGGATCTTCACATAGATGACGTGTTCTTCCTGAAAGGAGCGCTGCATAAGATCTTCAGGTGAGTTGGTGGTGAGCTAGCTCGCTTATACATTCATGGTGACAGTGAATATTAAAAGGGCATCTGTGTGCCAAGCCACCGACATGTTGGCCATATGAGGAAGTGGGAAAGACAAACGCTGGCTGGTCCATGGCAAAGAGTCCCACATTGACTCCCGTGAAAGCAGGGACTAATCTGGGACAGGAACCACGCCCAGAAAGCAGTGTAGAAGCAGACATAAGGAGGGCAGCTGTGATTTCTTCCTTAGGAAGCATGTCTAGGTTAAGGTGGTGTTAAGAGGGAAGACAGAGCATTCAAGTAGGGGCAGGTGATTGTGCTTAGCAGCTGAGATGGGGAGCAAGCATAAGTGTTCCCCTTTCAGAAAGGCTGCTGGACTTAAGGTATCTGTTGTGGCTTGTGTGTAGATGCCACCCCTAAAGCCTCACACAGGTCTTTTTCAGAGCTCCTTGGATCTGGAATGTATGATGCTGGGATTAAGGGTGTGTGACTACTAAACGACTACAAGTGAGTGAGTGATTTTGGCACTGCCCTAACCCCTGTAGTCTGGATGGGATAAAAGGGGCATAAAGATGCTGCTAGGGGCCCTTGTTGCTTTGCTACCATCTGGCTGCCATAAACTGTTTCTCTGCCATGCCACACTCCTTTGAGCCAGCTGATTATATATATTGAAACCTCTGTGGACTGTAATCCCAGTAAACTTTTCCCCCTTTAACTTTGGGTGTCACTCATTTTGTCTCAGAAATGACAGTAAAGTAAATAACACAATACCTAAAAGTGAAAGAAGAAAAGGTTTATTTTAGCTCACAATTTATACAGATCTCGGCCCATAAATAGCTGGCACCAATGCACAGCAGACAAGAAACAGTCCATTACAGGGTAGGCAGAAAGCAGCAAGCCCTCCTTCCTTCTCTTCCTTTATAGTCCACACAGGCTACAAGCCTATCGCTGTGCCGTTCACACCCAGGGTGGCCCTTCTCTCTTCAGTAATCCAATCACCTACAGCCACTCTAAACCAATCACTGGACTGATCCAGTTACCACCCCCACGATCTGGCCACTTCCCCAAATCCCCACTGCTGACAGCACAGAGATTTGGAGGACATCTAGGTAGAAGCCAGAACAGCGCTCCAGGAAGGGCAATGAGCACGTGCAAAGCGCAGGAGCCCAGAGCTCGGGGCGAGTAGGAGTGCTGGGCTCAGAACAGGGACCCAGGCTCTGCTGAGAACGTGGGAGCGACTCCAGTCCAAGTGGCCAATCTTGTCCGGCTTCGTTCTTCCTGCATGCCACCCCCTCATCTGGACAGAGCTGTGATTTTCTGCTTGACAATGAGCACAGGGGGCTGTGGAGAATGGGACTGAGCCAATCACAGAAGCAATGGTGACTTGAATGATCAGTGCCTTCAACCCACAGCATCAGTGTGATGATCATCGGATGGTGAGGGCAAACTTGGGGGCAAAACTGACTCTATCTTCAGTCATTTCCACTCATCACCCCAATTCATATGAAATTCTCCCTCCCTCCCTTCCTCTCTCTCTCTCTCTGCAGGAGTCAGAACCCCTTGGAGGCCCTCTCCTTGAGTTCGAGTCCACTGCAGGAATCTGACCTAAATCATCTGATCCAATGTCCCACCACAAGCCAGCTGAAGTCCCTGAGTCTGAGGAATATCTCAGTGAAATCATTCAACTTGGAGACTCTCCGGGCTCTGCTAGACAAATTGTCCGGCACCCTGGAGACCCTGGTCCTAGAGCGCTGTGGCTTCACAGACTCCCACATCCTTGCCATCTTGCCCACCCTGCGTCGCTGCTCACAGCTCAAGACCTTCAGTTGCTATGGGAACCCCATTTCCCTGCACACCCTTCGGGTCCTGCTGCAGGAGTCTGCCAGTCTCAGTCAGTTAACCCACGGGCTGTATCCTGCCCCACTAGAGAGCTATGAGTCCAAGAATCCAGCAAAGTTTGTGCACTATGAAAAATTTCCCTGGGTCTGTGCTCAACTGGCTCAGGTATTGAAGGACATAAGGCCATGTCTCAGGGTCCAGATCTGTACCTACTCCTGTGATTGGTGCCTGATATGTCAACTGTATACTCTGGAGCCCAGTGGGAAATGGGAAGTCACAGAGGAGTATCGCTACCAAAGTAGGATTAGATGTGACATTTGTGTGAATTCCCTATGTGATATCCATATATTTTTTTAAGTAGGTGTTGCCTCAAAGCTTATTGTGCTCACAGGTGGGGCTTTTTGGAGGTGACTGAATCATGGGACCATGACACTCATCAGTGGATTACTCCACGGAGTTTGTAGGTTCTCTCTCTCTCTCTCTCTCCCTCCCTCTCTTCTGTTAATGCCTCTCTGCTCTCCACAGCCAAGCATGAGCTGTTTCTCCGCTGCCAAGCCAACCTCTGACCTGAGCTATAAGACAAAATAAACTTTTCCTCTTTGAAGTTGTATTATTTTGCTCCAGTGACAAAAGAAGTAATGAAGACAGGTGGGTCGCTGAAGTTAGTCCTGCATAGATGACTGTTCAGAAATGATCATGAAGGTGACCATCCCAGGAATAGTACAATCCACCCATAAGCCCCGTACTTTGGAAGCTAAGGCAGGAGGAGTTCGAGTTTGACATGAGCTTGGACTACATCATGACTCTATTTCAAAATTAAATAAATATACAAAAACAGAACCTCAATATAAAATATTTCATGATGATCCAGAGTCTTGATTTTCTTGCCATGCATAATAATTATATGTATCTTGGCTAGGGAATCTTTTTATTCCTTTTTCTCTTTGATAGTGTGGGGGATTGAACTCAAGATCTTCACCCTGAGCTATCACTCCAACCTTTTTTATTTTATATTTTAAAATATTTCTTTACATGTTTGTATTACTTTGATCATATTCATCATGGAGCACTGATAAATGTACATGCCTCATCTCACCTGGTTTTATGTCCTCTTCCCTCCCCTTCCATCTTTGGTCCTTTTCCATTTACACCTTTCTCTTTGGAGAAAGGGTCTCTCTCACTAAGTAGCTAAGTGGTATAGGTAAGTCTCAAACCTGCAATCCTTCTGTCTCAGGGGCAGGGATTCTGTCTCTGTGCTGGGATTACAGGCGTGCACCACCTCACCCAGACTGGTTTTTTACTTGGACCTCAGTAATTTTCAGTGGTTGGGGAAAGAAAAGGCATTGGATCATTTCTTCTCCATGAGGATAGGCTGCAGGATCTGAACGTCCCAAAATAACGTGCTGTTCATCAGATCTTTCTGTCCTTTTTTCTGGACTTGGGATTGAAACCGGGGCCGCACACATGCTTGGGCAGTGTGTGACCATTGAGCTACACTCCCAACCCCCCTCCCTCTTGTTTCCTTCTCTGGTGGTGTTTGTTACAACCCTGCTGATTGGTGTGGCTGTTTCCAGAGGGCTGAGTCCGTAGACTGCATGTTGGCTCCTTTTACCTGGGGTTGCACCGGTGATGCCCACGTGCTCTGATGTTGTGATTATACCCCATGGTCAGGACAGCCAAAGTGAGTTACCCATCCATCCACTGAAGGACAGCTGGTCCATTCCAAACACTGGCAGTGATGAGAGAGCAGTTGGGAACATCTGGTTGGAAGTCTGCTCACTCGGATAAACACCTAAGAGTTCCATTGCTGGGTCATGGGACACTGATATTTGTAGGTGTTTCCCCCATGACACTCTCTCCTGTTACAATTGTCCTATAAAGGACAAAGAAACTATGACCCTGTGCTCCACAGCTAAGCACAGAGCCTGGCAAGTGGCAGTAACTGCTGACTGACCACAGGTGGCTTGGAAATGATGAGTAATGATGTAGAAAAACTAATGCTCATGATGCTGTGGACATGACATGGGCATTCACAAGGGCAGACACTTGATTTTCATACGTATACCAGGCCACTCCCAGATCTGTTTCTGTTGGGGCCAGTGGGCTGAAGGGAGGCCTGGTCAGGTGACGTTCCCAAAGAAAAGCATATGCATAGGGCAGAGATTACAAAAAAAAGCAGTAACCAACTGCAATTTCTAGCACCAGGGCAGCCTCAGAGCTGCAGCTCTAGAGTTTAAGAGTTGCATGTTTTCATCAATTTAGATTCTGAGACACACTTAGACAAAATAACTGACTCTGCACAGCTATGTGTTACATGCATGGTCCTTCATGATGGTTTATTATTATAGTAAAATCTGTCATGTGCCTGCACTAAATAACAAACTTGTGTCCTCAGGTGCTCTCTGACAGTATACGCCAGGGCTTTGACACATCTGCCGGTGTCCCGCCACAGTTTCTCAAGATTTCTCTCCCATGTAGGCTGTCAGAGTTGCCCGTTTGTCACACCGAAGCACCTGTGAGAAAGAAGCTCTGCCCGTTTTCTTACTCCTCCCCCTTTCTGTATGTATATAACAACAACAAAAAAAATGGGAATGCCATGCCTTCCCTAAACAGGCTACTTTTTGCAAACAGCAGGTTCTCCTTTAATAGTGCAAATAATTTCAAAGCAAAATATACATCCCCCCTGGTGCTGAGAAGTCCAGTGATTGTCTACACCCCTGAGCAGATGGTGCTTGGGCATCGAAGTCATAAACAATCATGATTATAGCCCCTTCCCCCAAATCCGCATAAGCATAGTCTTCCCTGTCATGGCTAGAATCTCTCTGATTTTAGTCTCTGTTCACTCATACATTTTTCTTTTTCACAACAGCAAAAAAAAAAAAAAAAGCTTATTTTAAAGGAGTGGATTGATGCACACCATCTGTAGCAGAGAAAAATCTGGAAAGGTGATGATGCCTGACCTCGGCCACCATCCCAAGCCAGAACACTGCTCCACAGCATGAACCCCAGCAACAGACAACTAACTGTGCCCTTCCGTGATCCTGGACATAAGCAGGGGGCTCAATCCAAAACCAAATTCCACGGCATGAACACATTAAGTCACCCAGGGGAGGGGGCTACCAAACCCCTATAAAATGATCTATAGGCAGGAGCTGTGGACTCCCAGCTCTGGGGCCCTGACCCTCTGAAGAAGACTGTACTGTTTCTTGCCATAGATCTTCCTTTCACTTTGAAACTTCTCTGGACTCTACTCTTTGGTTTGTATACTTGATCAAGAGCCTGGACACAAGAAAGAATCAAGCTTGATGGTCTCATCACGAATACACTATACCCACAGGTGCTTAATAAACAGCAATGTAACCAGGCAGGATGCCACACACCTGCAATCCCAGTACACAGGACGCTGAGACAAGAGGGTCATGGGGAATTTGACATCAGACTGAGTCACATAGTGAGTTGAATTCTAGTGTAATGAGACGCTGTCTCAAAAAACACCAGTAAGTAAATAAACAGATGTTCATGATTTCCATCATTAATAGTCATATTCCCTTGTCAGACTGATAAAACAATTCTTGAGCAGAATAAAATCTCTGATGAAAAAATTCTAGTTTACTGCAAGCTTATGTAAAGGGCATTTACACAGAGATTATACATGTGGTGAAAAAAATTATTCTCATTTGCTTTTTTTTTTCTTTTTTGAGGCATGGTCTCCTATGTAGTTCAGGTCAGCCTTGAACTCACTCTGTAGATCAGGCTGACTTTGAACTCCTAGCAACCCTCCCACCTTAGCCTCATGAGTGCTGGGGTTAGATATGTGGGCCAAAACCTGGCATGACAAAAGAAATATAACAGAAAGATGCATGAGGAACTGCTATCAAACAAACCCAGTTGTGGAGGTCAATGATAGGGAGATTTGTGAGAGCCGATCTAAATTGAATGGGCACGATCAGTAATTGGGGAGGGCAAATCACTGAGAAGTTACTACAGGGTCTCCTTTGCTTTGTGTCCTGAAAATTGCAAAGAATTGATGTGGAATTGAGCCCAGAATAGGAGTTGTTGTTCAGCAGTTAAGATTCTAAGAGCCGACATAGCATTTGTCTCAGCATTGTGCTGCATGGCTCTGATTCTGGCATTTGTGAAGCTGAGGCAGTAACATCATGAGTTCAAGGCCAGCCTGGAACACACAGGAAGTTCAAGGCCAGCTTGAACTACATAGTGAGACTTTGTCTCTAAACATAACAAGAACAAAGAACAACCAAAAAAATTAGCTTCAATATAAAGAACTATAAACTGAAAGAAAAAGAAGAAAGAGTAATAGACTCTGAACGTGGTTGGGGAAGTCTTTTTTTTTTTTTTTTTTTTTTTTTTTTTTTT